GCCAGGACTTTAACTGAACTGCAAGTGCCAAAAACAACATAGGTCTCATCTTGGTCATATTCCACATACATGTACACTCTCTGGCCACTTTATTAGGTACACCTTGCTAATATTAGACCCTGTTTTGACTTCATATCCAACAAGATGTTGAAAACAGTCCTCAGAGATTATGGTCCATATTGACATGATAATATCGCACAGTTTCTGCAGATTTGTCAGCTGCACATCCATGATGTGAGTCTCACATTGCAACACATGCCAAAGGACTGTGGAGGCCATTTGAGTGCAGTGAACTGTCCCGTTCAAGAAACTAGTGTGAGATAATTTAAACGGTGCAACATGGTGCGCTATACTGCTGTAAGCAGCCATCAGAAGATTGATTCACTGAAACTGTCATGGTCCGTGGGAGTGTCTGGGGATTTTCCAGCCTGAGTTAGTGTGCTTCCTGTGTCCGCCCTCAGTGGCGGAGGTTCTGGTGTCCCACCTGTGTCGTTTCCACGACTAATCAGCAGGTTCTTTAGGTCAGCGCTGTCTGAATGAAACCCTTTCAAAAAATTTGGACCAGCTTGCTGGTGACAGGAGACACCGAGAATGTGTCAGGTTTATTTAAAGCTGACTTATGTGTTCCTTATTTTTCTCATATACAGTTACAGTAGTGTGTGCTCGTACAGTTTCAAATGGGGCGTCAAAGCAGCTTTGGGACTGTGTTACAGTTTCCTGTGTCACGTTTGAATTGTAAGCTTTTCCCTTCTTACAGATTAGTCATAGCTCATGGTTGTTGTTTTTTTTGTTTGTTTTTTGTTTAATTTTACGTGACATTAGTATTTGGGCTTTCTGGCTCCATGATGGATAGATTAGTAGGCCTGTGAAATTGTCCAAAAAACGAGTAAGCTGGTCAGTGAATTGCAATTGAAACTCTTAGCCTCATGGCCCTGCAGATGTTTGCACCACCATTATAACATCAGTCTTCGGGGCGTTATCGTCTCGTTGACTGGCGCTTCAGTGCGCACTGGAAAGCGC